AGACCAATATGTCAAACAATAAACCCACAACGGGATATGCCAATTCAAGTTGTTTGAGTATCACACACAATTGTCCTTCTGTTTGTTTCTTATCAACAAATGCTCTGATGAGTGCCATTGACATGATGAGCATTTTAATAAGCTGGATGTAGTATTCTTTAAACACACAAATGTGGATGCTGTGGAACTTCTGTAACGCGTCATTCTTCCAATCGTCCTTCTTTCGTGTCTTCAGGTCACTCAAAAATGCTTTGAAACTCTGCGTCTCCTCTTCCAAATGTGCATACACTTCGTTGTACCCAACAAACTCAAATGAATTCGACCCAAAGTGCATTAAAACTTCTTTCTCCTCCACAAGGAGTTGGTCGTGTGTCATCGCAAGTTCCTCCAAGTTCTTAACTGTGTGGATATTGATCACTTTCTTTAATATTTCACACCCTTTCTTTGTCAAATTGGCGTTTTGTGCTTGCCATATATTTCGTACAATATAAATCTGTGCAAATGCTCGTTGTGTGGAAATAGTGTCGTTGTTTAATGGGTTTTTCGAGATGCTTTCTGATATAATATTAAATGGTTCCTTCCCACACAATGAAATCTTCTCCGCGGTCTGTAACAGAAACGCAAAGGTGTCCGCATCGTATTTAATTTCTCTGTTTTTCCGTGAAATCGCTTTTGAGAGTATTTTAATGACTTGGTCCGTCTGATCCTTCTGCACAAACGAAATTCCAGCAATTTCAGTCAGCGCACAATAAACAGTTTGAAGCTTTTTCCTTACTTGAACCTCAACGTCTTCACCGTCTAAGGACGCAAACAACTCTTTGATGAACGTACTCAGTGACTCACACTTCTTACAAAGGATCTTTGATATAGAAGGGCTCATATAATCAAACAGCTGTATTTCCATCAGCAAATAATTCAAATTTCTCCAGTAGATTTCAAGAGATTGTTTGACATTTTTGATTGTCTCGGGAAACAAGAAGAAGAGGTTCAGCGACTGTAACAGAACGTCACATGAGTGGTGGAAATTGACGCACTCTTCTGTAAAAGTCTTTACCGATGGCACATAAGTCTCTATTTTCGCTTTAATCGACTTTTTAAGACCATCAAGAAGTTGTTGTGTAAAATTCTCTTCCTGTGTATTGGCACAACGCCATCCAATGTCTTGTTCCAAATCAAACTCATTGACTTTTTCTGTGAGCAATTTGAATGTCTCTGGACTTTTCTTTCGTGATAGAATGTCATAGATACTCCTCAAGTGTTGTAAGTGTTCGACCCTCTGTTTGTCGACTGCGTTCTTTTTGAATATGAATTCTCTGATAATTTTGATGTCGTAGACTTTCTGTTCGATGTCCGTGGAACAGAAAATCTTCTCAATTTGTTGTGTGACGACATCGAGTAAA